CATCATCATTATCATCATCACCACCATCTCCACCATGACCATCATCACCACCACCATCTCCACCATGACCATCATCACCACCACCACGGCCACCATTATTACCATCACCATCCCCATTACCATCATCACCACCATCTCAACCATGACCATCATCACCACCACTGTGACCACCATTACTACCATCACCATCCCCATTACCATTATCATCACTGCCATCACCATCATCACCACCGTCATTACTACCACCAGCATCACCATCAGCATCATACTCTTCACCATTGTCCTGATCACCAGTATTTCATGATAACAGTTTACTGTTATCAACACTATCATTCCCACCATCACCATCATTATGCTTCTTGCTATTATCATAAGCACCAGAAAATCCAGTAGCACCCTTAGTACCATCACTGGCACCACTGTCTTTCTTAAGCCAGCATACAATCTTCCCCAGTGTCATAAATGGTGCATTTTGTTTTCCTTTTTGAAACAGACTCTCACCCTGTCACCCTTGCAGAGTGCAGTAGTATCATCATAGCTCACTGCAACCTCAAACCTCTGGGCTCAAGTGATCCTCCTGCCTCAGACTCCTGAGTACCTGGGACTATAGGTAGGTACTACCATGCCTGGCTAATATTTTCTATTTTTTAGTAGAGATGGAAGTCATGCTCCTGCTCAGGCTGGTCATGAACCCCTGAGCTCAAGCAATCTTCCTGCCTTAGCTCCCTGGTCTTGCCCCCAAGGACCATAGGATTAGCCCTGACTTCCCAGCCCAGACCCCCAGCCACTTCCAGTCTCACACTGGGGACTTACTCTTTGCACTGAGGCACTTTCAAATAGTAGAGGTGGACAGTGCCCTTCACATTGGCATGGAGGGTGAAGAGGCCACCCAGGAGGTAATCCCCAGCCAGGTGGAAATCCGAGTTCTCAGCCGGCTCAGCCAGAACCTGCAGCAGGAGGAACAGGGAGCAGACCATCCTTGCCCAGGGCCCCATGGCTAGGAAGTGGAGGAGGCGGCCCTTCCTCACTGGAGAGCTGGCAAGTTGACACTAGGGCATTTGCACAGACATTTACATAGCAGTGGTCCTGCCATTGACTGTGGGGCACCTGGAACAGGTGGAAAAGTTTGAGGGCTGTAGGGGCAGAAGAGGAGGCAGGAATTAGGACAATTCTTTCTTAGAGCACAGTGGAGCCTGAGTGCTCTAGAACTGTATTTGGAAGAAGAGAGCATCCTGCTGCTCTCTTGATCACACCCCCGCCTTCTGCCACCTCTGGGCCTGACACTCTGCTTTCTGGGTCTCAGCTTCCTCGTCTGTACAATGAGGGGTCCTCTTCACACTGCCCTTCTCCCCCTTCATGTGAGGCTGCCCAAAGCCCTGGTGCTGACTCCCATCTGCCCTACGGGTTCTCCCGAGACTCCCTCCCACTTTTCACACCCTACCCTTCCTCAGACCCTCATCACCTCCTTTCTAGACCTCTCTGTGTGCCCCACTCTGTTTAAATCCACAAAACAGCTCTCAGCTGGACACTCCTCTGCTCTCACACTTCCTGGGGCTCCCCATCAACTGCAGAGTCAAGTCTGAGTCCCTAGTCCTAGCATTTGAGGCCTCCTCAGCCTGACCCCAGCTCACTCATTGTCCCTTTCCAGCCTTTCCAGCCCACTGTCTCCTATGTCACATGCCCCAACTCACAGCTACGCTGGCCTGGTAGGATTGGGGATAAAGGATCTTTTGGACTATCATTCTAGGGGCCTCTAAGACCACAGCTGCCTGCGCTGCCAGACATCTAAGGGGTGATGAGGAATTATATTTCTGGGAAATAGCACATTTCCCAGAGTGTATTAAACACTAGGCCCATATGGTGCTAAGCATCTTATGTGCATTATACTATGTATCATTTAAGTCGTACAACCACTCTTCAAAGTAGCCATTTTTACTCCCATTTTAAAAGTGAGGCTCAGAGAGGCTAAGCAAATTGCCAGAAGTCACACAGCTAACAGGTGATACCAGAACTTAAACCCAGGCTGCCCAAGCTGTTAGCCCCTGTGCCATATGACTTTGGTGTATTTTGTCTCCAGGAGTTAATGTACAAAGCTGTCCCATTGCCAAGGAGAGCTTCTCAGTGTGGGCTGTCAGTGCGGATGGACCATCTCTCTGAAGAACAAGCATGAGACAGAGTCAAAGTCCCAGCTTCTGGCCCAGCTCTGGCCCAACTTGCAGGCTACTCTTGAGCAAGTCCCTTCCATTCTTGCAGCCTCAGTCTCCCCATCTGTAAAATGGACTCAGTGCTTCTTAACCTTCGTTGGGGCAAGGACCCTCCAGAGACTCTGAGAAAAGCCCTGTGCACTAACACACACCCCCAGCACCCCAGCCAGCTACCCAGCTCCCAGGTGCTGCCAGTGCGTGGAGCTCATCAGGGAGCCCCAAGCTGAGAGGAGCCTGAAGGGATCCCTCTGGCCTCGACATTATCTAGGGAGGGATGAATGGATGCCACCCTGAGGTCAAATGCCCAGGAACAGTACCACTGAGCTTCCCTTTCAGGGTCACACACAAGGTTCATGCCCCAGGGTGGCCAAACACAGCCCAGGCCAGACAGACCCATCACCCTCCGGGCCGGTCCAGGGCCTGAGGCCCCCATGCTCATACCTGTGTGGACACTGGTTACCAAGGTGATGGATAGCCATGACAGGCATGCAAAGCGTGCAGGTGAGGGGGAGCGAGGGCAAGTGTGGCAATGGCGAGCCCAACGCCGCCCATTTGCCTTGGCATCTGCCCCTGATGCTCACGGAGAGGAGCTGGGCGAGTCGGCCGAGGGCTGCCTTGAACTTCCTTCCCGCCCTGCCCTGCAGCTAGATGGGGACTGGCCCTGGAGACTGGGGGCTGCATGAGCTCCTTTCCCCACCCTGCCCTCTGCTCTCTCTTCCCACTTGCTCATCTTCCCCTTTACTCCTCGGACACCCCCCCCCATCCCTCCACTCTCTTTCCTCCCAGCACTCCCCACTCTAGGACAAGATTGGGCTGCTGGAAATCAGTCTCCTAATGGCTTAGGTTGGGGGCACGGGCAGGCCAGGCCTCCTCTTGGAAGGGCTGGGAGATGGCCAGTCCCCAAACCAGCCTGCTTGGTCCAGAGGCACCTAAGAGGAGAGTGCTGAGCAGGCCCCAGGGCCCATTCTTAGAGGCTACAGCCTCCTCACCCCATCCTTCTGAAATAAGAAGCCCAAAGAGTGGCGTGGGTGGCCACTGGAAGCTGGGAACTCAGAGACCAGCTGAAGCCTGAGGAAGGGATTCTTCCATGGTTGGGTACACTCTTGAGCCCAGAGGTCCTCTCAAGCCTCCTCACCAAACTTTGGTGGATGAGGTTGAGTCTGAACCAAAAAAAGATATGAAGATATCAAAAGACCACAAGCTCAAAAAGAGCCAAGAGGGTGATAGTCACTAAAGCCTAAAGGAAGCAACCTTTATGGAACTCCTGCAAACCTTCAAACATCACTGCACCTGCTCACCAGAGTTCTATGGAGGATTTTTATTCCCAGTGTACAGATGAGGAAACCAAGGCTCAGGAGATTAAATGGCTTACCCAAGGTCACTGGGACTTGGACCCCTTTTTGCTGCATTTCAGAACTAATTCCATTGCTTTAGTGTAAGCTATTTTAAATTTAAGGTTATATCAAAAGGAGCAGACTCTCCAGAACAAAGGAGGTGATAGTCCTGCCACATTATGTGGTAATCAGACCTCACTTGGGTGGATGACTGTAAAAGTAATAGCTCAGTTGAATGACCTCTTCCTGGCCCCAGGCTCAGCACTAAGCTCATTTTCATGTTTTAGATCATTCAATCCTTCTCACGATAGCAAGGGAGGAGTACTATCACTATTATATCCTCATTTTATACCATAAGAGACTGAGGCTCAGAGAGGTGATGCAACCAAGGTTACACAGCCAAGATCCCAGTTCAGGACTATATTACACTCCTTGGGAGTCCCAGAAGAGGTCACAAGGTGGACAAAGATCTGAAAACTGTATTCCACAGGGAGCAGCTGAAAGAAGTGGGGATATTCGGCCTGGGGAGGAAGAGGTCCATGGAGTTCTTGATGGGTCAGAAAGGGCTGAAATGGGGACAGGCAGTGGTCCTGTTCTGTAGGGCTCCAGAGGGCCTAGCCTGTCCCAATGGACAAGGGGCAACCAACAGTATTGACTGCTCTCAGCTTCCCTGCCTATAAAATGGCCATGGCCACTGTCAAGTAGTGAATAAATGAGGTTAAAATGTCAATAAATGATGGCAAATATCACACTCCCACATTGCTGGCTTCCTTCCTGGGACGGTGGTCTCCGTGTGACTCTTGACTCTGCTCTGACTTACCAGGGTTTCATCCCAGGCTCTGCCACTTGCTGTGTGACCTCCCCCAGGCATCTCTCTCCCTGAGCCTCACTGCCCTCCCCTGTGCACATCCCGGAGCAGGTGCTCAGCAAACAACAGCTCCCTGTGGCCTCTGACAGCCAAATGCTCAAGGGCCTGAGGACAACTGCCTGCCTGCTTAGGGCTAAGGGTGGGCATGGCACAAGCTGGAACAGCCTTCTGCTGTCCCTTGGGCACTGGTGGGTCATGTGGTACCTGTTCCACCATCCAGGGTGACTGTCAGCTACCTGGGCAAAGGAGGACACAACTGGCTGGTTATGTCTGGAGCCACAGCATCAGCAGAGCTGCCTCCCCACCCACCCCATCCACTCATGGGCCATCCAGAGACTGCTGGGTTCCTGCAAAGATTTGGGATGAGTGCGTGCTGGTGCAGCCATCAGGAACAAGCTCTGTTGTTGCCCCTCATCTGCCTCAGCCCCTCATCTGTAAAATGGGCCTAAAGTGCCTCACAGGCTGGTGTAGTCCATGTTGATTAGTGAGAACACCTGGTCCATTAATAGGTGCTCAGTTAAATCCAGCAGCTCCCCCTGCGTACATATACTTCCAGGACAAAGTGTTAAGACTGGACATCAGTTCACATTTACTGAGCACCTCACTCTGGCAGGATGCAGCACACTATTTGAAGACACTTCATTAGATCCTCAGCTCCCTGAGAAATCTGAAGCCAGGTGGTCAAGGAACAGGTAAGAGAGAGGCTGGAACCCAGGTCTGTCTGGCTTGGGGGGCTGCCCAGGGGTGGTTACAACGCAAGGCTTGTTGGTCAGAATGTGGGACTGAAACCCAGCCATTTCCTCCTGGTGTACTGTCACTCAACCTCTCAGTGCCTCAGTTTCCTCATCTGTAAAATGGGAGCAATGGTACATATTTTATGGGGTTGCCATGAGGCTTCGAGGTTCTGATGTCCACAGCATTGAGCACAATGCCTGGACCCATCCTGCATTCAAGCAATGGTGGAGGCCATCACTTCAGAGTGTACAGGGATTATGGTGATGAACAGGGGCGGGGTGGGGGTGAACTAGTGAGAATAAAGACGTGACCCCCTTAAGAGGGGAGGGTGGTCTGTATACTGCCACTTCCTCGGTGCTTCAGGGGTTCTGTGCCAGCCTAGTGGCCAGGAGCTAGGACAGGTGGCTCTTCATTTCCTTAGAGTGCACGCTCGGCTGGCTGCCCGTGGGACAGCAGTGGTAAGGACGTCCGGCCTCAGTCAAATGGTTCACGCTCCCAGCCCAGGGCTGTGGCTGGGCCCCTGGCCATAACATGGAAATGAAGGGGCTCTTTGGGCTACCGCAGACATGGGGAGTTATTATAATGACAGTGCAAAGAGGCCTCAGGTCCCCAAGCAGACACCCCCTATCAAGAGCCATCAGCCCCAAGTCTGGGGAGCAAGGGAGAGAGAGGTGAGCAAGTGACAGCTCTGAGTCATCCTGCCCCTATGAAAAAGGAAGCAAAGGTGGCAGGTTGGGGAGGGGCAGCATAGAATGTCAGGAGCAGAGGAACTTGGGAGTTAGGGCCCTGTCAGAGTAGGTAGCAAAGAGCCTAAGCCCCAAGGACCCACAGACCTGGGTCCAAACCCTGGCCTTCCTGCTAACCTGCTGTATGACCAACTGTCGCAGCCCCTATGGCCCTGGTCTTGATCGCCACAGGAAGGAACCAGGCATGATGCTGATAGAAGTACAAGCTTGCAGGAGGCGGGCTAACCATAAGCACAGGGTAGCCCAAGCAACCTCCGCAGTAACTTCTTATTGAGACAGCACAAGACAGGTGAGGGGAGTATTAGACAATGACTGTGTGCCTAAGGATCGCCATGAGCTTGGGCTCTTTCCCCCACAAGGAGCACCTGCGGATGAATTGCCCGAGGGTCCACCCCCCAGCTGCAAATCATCTTGCTGAGAGGTTGTCTGGCTCTTGGCATCCCCTACAACCAACCCCTAATAGCCCTGCCAGTTACCCAACAAGGTCACTGCCAAGCTCAAAAACAGTGGTTCTCAACCTTCCTAATGCAGCAACCCTTTAATACAGTTCTTCACCTTGTGGTGAGCCCCAACTATAAAATGATTTTTGTTGCTACTTTGTAACTGTAATTTTGCTACTGTTATGAATCGTAATGTAAATATCTGATATGCAGGATAGTCTTAGGCGACCCCTGTGAAAGGCTCATTCAACCCCCAAAGAGGTCGCAACCCACAAGTTGAGAACCGCTGCTCTAAAAGATGAGGTAGGTAAAGCACTTAGCCAGTGATGGGTCAATTTTGCTAGTGTCTCCATGTGACCTTAAGCAAGTCATATCACTCATTCCCATTTACAGAGCACACAGGTCCCACACTCGCAAATGCAGTCACCACCCTTCCCTTTTGTGGGCTTTAGCCCAGAGCACCCTGGCTGCTGCCCTTTATGCCTGGAGGTGCCGAGGTGGCTTAGGAAAAGTCATTTCACTTTATCTGCAGGTGGAGATAGCCCAGGACACATGTTCTTCCCCCTCCAAAAGTCGGCTGGCCTGCACAGGCTTGGGCCCATGGATTCTTGGCTCAAACTAACTGGCCAGTGGCTCCCCCCGGAGTCATCTGGCCCTCCAAGGTCTTTCCAAGACAGTTCAGCCCAGGTGTGGACATCTGGGTGAAAGAGAGAGAATGACCCTGGGAATCAGACAGACATGAATTTGCATCCCAGCAATACCATGCCCTTGGAAAGTCCCTTGACCTCTGTTTCATCTGCAAAATGGGGGCATGGTAGGACTTACTTCATAAGGCCATTGCGAGGAGACATATGCAGAGGACGTGGCACACACATCAGTCAGGGTTCTCCGGAGAAACAGAATAGGGTAGATTATGGAGAAAGAGATTTTAAGGAATTGACTCATGTGATTGTGGAGGCTTATTAAGTCCAAAATCTGCACAGAATGCTAGAGACCCAAGGAAGAGTTCCAGTTCAAGTCCAAGGGCAGACTGCTGGAAGAATTCCTTCCTGCTTCAGGGAGCTCAGTCCTCATTCTATTAAGACCTTCACCTGATCAGACAAAGCCTGCCCATGTCGTAAAGGGTCATCTGCTTTCCTTCTTAAAGTCCACTGATTTCAACGTTCATCTCCTCCTAAAACTCCCTCGCAGAAACATCCAGAATGGTTGACCAAATAACTGGTATCATACCCAGACAAGCTGACACATAAAATTATCACAGCACATGATGGTGGCTGTTACAACACATAGATTGGCACCATTTTTGAATCAGTATGTATTTCACATTATTCGAAGCACTTCTTCGAATTACTTCCTTCAATTCTCATTATAACCTGTAGGTGTGTGTGAGAACACATTTTACAAATGAAGAGAAAGGTCAGACAGGTCACGTAACTTTTTGGAGATCACCCAGTTGACAGGCAGTGGGCCAGGATTTAAATCCAGCACATCTGGCTCCAGAGCTCCCGACGCCTCCAGCAGGAACTCCCAGACATCAGTCCTACCCCTTCCCCCATCATACTGAGGGTGCTGTTGGCACTTCCTGACAACACACTGGCAGGGCCAACAGACTCAGATGACATAGGCCATCCCCCACCACCTCCACCAAAAAGACAACTGACTGCTTTAAGTAACAGGCACTTTATTGGGTGACATCAGGGTGACTCCTACTGCCAGCTCACAGTGCAGAACCAGGAAAGAATGACAGCAGAACCCACATGTGGCCGAGGTGGCAAAGGCATCCATCCCAACCACAGGCCGTGGTGTGAAACAGTGGCACTTGGGGACAGCCACACCAGCTCCATGGGGGCCCCGTGCAGCTGTCCTTGAGGAACACTTACTTTCTTAGCACTTTCACAGTCCCCTAAAAGCCACCCTTGAAAGTCAGGATGGACCCCTGACCACCCAGAATCCGACAAGAAGGAATCTGCAGGGGACACTGTGGCCATAACAAAAAACAGGCCACTGAGGGGCCAGTCCTCATAGAGCCACTGACACGCTAAGCAGGGAAGGTTCTATAGTCAACACCCTCGACCCAGGCTGAAGGAATCCCAAGGTCAGGTGTAAGGGGCTAGGAGAAGGGAGGGGGTGACATCTGCCTGAGCTCCTGTAGGGAAATCTCAGGCCCCAAGACCAGCCCTGAGAGTGGAGGTCTCTAGAGGTAGGACCAGAGGGGCTAAGGAAAGCTGAGACAGGACGAAGGCCCACCCAAGGCTTTACAAAATCACAGCCCAAACAGGAGGGACCAGCACATCCCACACCATAACAGGTGACCTCCAGCACATGGAGCAGGCCAGGAATCATGTGGGCCTCAGGCGAACGTAGGCCCCTGGAGAAAGGCATACAGGTGTCTAAGGCAGGTGGGTGGACACAGGTACAGATACCCACTGACCCCAGTGGGTCTGGACAAAGATGTGGTGAGAAAGGTGGGCAGCCCGCACAAAAGGAGGACAAGGCCAGCTGGTGCCCCCTGTGCCCTGTAGGCCACCCCTGGTCACACTTTACCCTGGACACCTGGAGGAGCTGGGCCCAAGGCCAGGAGCCTCCATGAGTGGTGAGGTTTGCCGAGGGACCCAGAGTAGCCTCCTTTATGCAAAGGATCCCAACAGCTACTTGATGTCCATTCCCAGGTCCCTGGGCCCCTGGGCCCCAGGGCCCCAGGGGAGGAGAGAGGGAGAAACTTCCAGGCCCTGAGCTCCTCCCAAGTGGAACTGACTGACAGGATAAGGGGAAGTAGCTTGTTCCTCCCCAATGTGATCTCAAACCAGCACCCAGGCACCTGATACCAAGGCACGGCAGAGGCCAGAACACAGGGTAGTGGTGGGGAGGGGGTGTCTGGCTCTAGAAAGGGAGCCATCCACAAGGAATGGGGTGGAGGGGCTGGGCGGGGGGCAGTGCAGTGAGGTCAGTCATCTGGATGGGCAGACAGGTGGACAATGGAGGCACGGCGGGGCTCACTGCATGTATGAGTAGCGCCAGTCCCCCAGGGGCTTGTGGGTCTCCTTGATGACCTGGGGTGACGTCCAGCGCAGGATGTAGTGGGGGCCCCCTGGCTTGTCGTTGGTTCCTGTGGAAAAGACAGTCCTACTTTCCTCTGAAGAGACAGCCGTTCTGGGCAGAAGGCAGGGGAGGAGTTCACGGAATAAACAGGGCACCAGCAGGGAGCCTGACCCCGCAGAGGTGCCCGCATGAGGTCTAAACAGTCAGATGGACAGACAAGAGACTCAGCTCCTCGGCTGCGGGGTGAGGGGCTGGGGAAGCTGGGGTACCCCTCCTCAGCAAAGGTGACTGGGAGGCAGGTGCCATGTGGAAAGGGCATTGGACTGGGGACTAGAGACCTATGTGATATTGGGATGCCTCAGAAACGCACACCTAGCCTTCATCCCTGGTTCCTGGCCCAAGCTCCTGAAGCTCTTCGGATGTCCTGCTACTCATAAGAAGCCCCTTCTAACCACACGAGGTTTACACTAATATGGTAGCTTTTTCGGGATGGAGGTCAGCTGGCAGAAGAACCAACCCTGTCTGATAGATGGGTGGGACTTCCAGCCCCAGGGAGGGCAGAGGAACCAGAGGTTGACCTGGTCACCAATGGCCAAAGATTTCATCAGCCACATCTGCATAATGAAGCCTCTATAAAAACCCAAAAGGACAGGGTTTGGAGAGCGTCCCGCTGGTGAACAGGGGCATGTGCCAGGATGGGGCACACCCCCAACTCCAAGAAGTTGGAAGCTTCCCAGCTTGGGACCCTTCCCAAACTGCCCTATGTCTCTTCATCTGGCAGCTCACCTGGACCCTTTAAGATACCCTCTGTTGGGGCGGCGCCTGTGGCTTAAAGGAGTAGGGCACCGGCCCCATATGCCAAAGGTGGTGGGTTCAAACCCAGCCCCAGCCAAAAACTATTAAAGAAAAAAAAAAGATACCTTCTGTAATAATTGGGTGATAATATGCAAATTTCCCTGGGTTCTGTAGGCCATCCAAGCAAATTATCCCACCACCCAAGGAAGCGGTCTTTGGAACCTCTGATGTGTAGCCAAGTTGGACAGAAGCTGTGGGTAGCCTGGGGACCCACTGCCTGCAACTGGTGTCTGAGGTAGGGGCAGCCTGTGGGACTGACACCTTCACCTGCACAGACTGCACTAACCCCAGGCAGCTGGTGTCAGAATCAGGTTAAGTTGAAGGACATCGAGTTGGTGTCTGCAAGACCTGAAGAACTGACTAGTACAAGAAACCCTCTCACACCCAGGCTCAGCCCTGGTCCTGCCACTTGGGAGCACAACCTCTTGTGAGTTGTTGACCCCTCTGGGCCTTAGTTTCCCCATTTGTGAAGTGGAAGGTGTTGGACTCACATGATGTTGGGCATGACGGTGGAAAGTATGGGTGCTGCAGACAAAATTGCAACCCCACCACCTCCCGACCATGTGCTTTTGAGCACCATGCCTCAGTTTCTCCCTCTGTAAAATGGGAAAAGGAATAGTATACGTTTCCCTGGCCCCCAGTGAGTGCTCAGTAAATAGTGTCATTCCTGTTACTCTTAACTCCCTCGAGATGAAGGATCTAGGGCAGTGGTTCTCAACCTGTGGGTCGCGACCTACAGGAAGTGTATGAAAGGGTTGGGATATTAGGAAGGTTGAGAAGCACTGATCTAGGGTCTCCCACCAGGAACATGGCTCTCCTCTGGGAAGGGTGGGAAGAAGGACCTGCTTACCAGAGGCTCGGGCTCCCCCAAAGGGCTGCTGGCCCACCACGGAGCCGGTGGACTTGTCATTGATGTAGAAGTTGCCGGCAGCATTCCTTAGCATCTTTGTGGCCTCCTGGATGACCTCCCTGCAGAGCAGGGCAGTAGTAAGAGGACAGCTGACCGGTCCCCACTTCTAATCCCAGGCCCGACTCCAATACCTCTGCCCCAGCCCACACTGGGAGTTAAGCACAAGACAAGCCGGGACAGGGGTGCTGGCCAGCTGCTGGCCATGGGCCCCCAGACACATTACTCAGCCTCTGACCCTCAGCTTCCTCCCCTGGGGTGGGGCTGGCATGCCAAATGTAAGGACCAAGAGTCAGGCCATACCCAAGGTGTGGCCTGTCCTAGTCTGATTTTCCTGCTTCTCAGGAGCAAGAGGCACCACCAGACTCCCACCCCTCCTCCAAGCCCACCTCTACTCTCTCATAGTAGCCGACTTGGGGTGACAACTAGTGCCATGGTAGAAAAAAAAAAGCAGAATTTGGGATTAGCTTCATGGGTGCGAATCCTGCCCCTGCCTTCCTTCGTCCCTGCAGTGTGGGACGATCACCTCACTCAGTGGGATTCCATTAGATCTGGAAAGCCAGTCAAAAGTACTGATTCCCGGGCCCTGCCCCAGAGATTCAGATTCAGGACCCTGGAGCCTGTGTTTGTGACAGAGAGCCCCTGTTGGGTGGGCCTGTCAGAGCTGAGAGGAGGGGACAGGGAGAGAGCCAGCAGGGACAGGGACAGGACACAAGACCACAGCTCTGGGGCTGCAGCCTGGCCACTCACTTATCCTGGGCGAACACTGCCCCCGTGAGGCCGTAGCTGGTGGTGCTGTCAACCAGCTGGAGCGTCTCCTTGTACTTGTTGTCCGGGTAGACGTACACAGTTAGCACCGGCCCGAAGATCTCCTGGGAGAGAGGCCCAGGTCAGGGGGGCTGCTGCCCTGAGCCTTCCTGGAGTCCCTGTTCTGCCCCACCCCTCAGTCCCCAGCTCTGAGTCCACACCTCACCCCTGCAAGGGGCCAGGTGCTGCCACCTCCTTGGGACCCTGCCAGGACAGGAGTGTACCCAGCTCCTCACTCTGCTCACCCCACTGCAACTGCCAAAAATCCAAAAACTTTCTGGCTCTCCCTGCCAACCCCACACCTGGAGAACAAAGGGCCCAAGGCATTGAAAATGGGAGAATTCTGGAAAACAAGTACCAGGAGGGTCACTGGTGATGCCACTCCCACCAGGAGGGTTTGTGGCCCCCTCTGATACCCAGAGTCTGGGGGAAGACTTCATCCTCTGACCCCTGCTCCCGCCCCACACTGCCACCTTGGACAGGTACCTCCATCTCTGGGAGCCTCTGCTTCTCATCTGTGAAATGGAACCAGTAACACCGACCTCATCTCGGCCGAGTGCCCAGCCCAGGCCGGCCTACAGCAAGAGTCAGTAATGTCAGCTGATACCATCACTCTAGTGGTGGCCATGGTGACTGTGGGCAGTGGAAGCTCTAGGACCCTGGCCTGGATTAAGAACATAACACTGGATTTGGAGTCAGGAGTCCTGAGCTCAAGACCTTGCTCTCTCTTTCCAGGTGTGAAACATTACCTTGTAGGGCCCCACCTTCCTCATCTCTGTAAGGGGACAATGTCTCAGAGAAGAAATCACAGGCAAGTGCCCCATGAGCGTGCTGCACTCAGGTGAGACCATCCTCATCTCAGTCCAGGCTGCCCTCCCTAGTTACCTCCTTCATGATGGGCTCCTGTGGGTCCTTGCTCTCCACGATGCAGGGCTCCACAAAGTAGCCCAAAGAGTCGTCACACTTGCCCCCGGCCAGGACGCTGAGGCTGGGTGAGGAGCGAGCGTGCTCCAGCCACTTCTTGATGCGACTGAAGGACTGGGGTGGGTGGGGAGGAGTGGGTCAAAGGCAGCCTGGGAGGTCATTCCCAGCAGCAGCCTCCCGACATACCCCAAAACACCTGGACCTAAAGGGCCCAACTTCTAAAAGAGGGGACAGTGGAGGCGGGGGGGTCCCAAGGGCAAAAGCCAGGGTCTGGGGTAGGGTGGCTCTGTCCTGTAATCCCAGTACTTTAGGAGGATGAGGCAGGAGGATCACTTGAGGCCAGGAGTTTGAGACTAGCCTGGACAACATAGCAAGACCCCATCTATATATATTCCAGGGGCGGGAGGGAAAGCCAGGCGCAGTGGCTCACACCTGTAATCCTAGCACTTTGGGAGGTCGAAGCAGGTGGATCGCCTGAGCTCAGGAGTTCGAGACTAGTCTGAGCAAGATCAAGACCTCACCTCTAAAACATAGCTGGGCATTGTGGCAGGTGCCTGTTGTACCAGCTACTTCGGAGGCTGAGGCAAGAGGATCACTTGAGTGATCCCAAGAGTTTGAGGTTGCTGTGAGCGATGAGGTCACAGCACTCTACCAACGACAACAAAGTGAGACAGTCTCAAAAAAAAAAAGCCAGGTTCTGGCTGAGCCACAGGAAAGACAAGGGCCAATATGCATACTCTTGTATGTGTATATGTGTGTGTGGTGTACTCATAGGTGTACTCACGTATAAACCTACACACACATAATGTATGTCATGTATACACATGGCATGGCCATGTATCTTTATGTTCAAACACGTAAGTATCTGCATGCCTTATACGTGTGCCTGAGTGTGGACTTGTTTATGAAGACACACATATGCCTATGTGCACGTGGACATGTGTTTATGTGGGTAGACCTACATGGTTCTGGATATACCCACACACACGCCTGTGTTCTTGGGTTTATGTGTGCAGGGGAACAGTCCTCTGGTTAGGGACGATTCCACCACTTCCAAGGCTGGGGGCATGTTGTGGCTGTCACTGCCTTGATCAAAGCAGTGGGGCTGAGTTGCTCCTGGGTCAGGGTCCTGCACATCTCTTCCTTGCTCTCCCCCCCAGTCCAGGGCTTGCCCCCCGCCCCAAGAACACCCCATTTCCTGCCGCGTACCTTGGCATCAATCACTGCCGAGAAGAAGGTCCCAAAATCCTCTGCAGGCTGGAGACAAGGGAGACACCAGTAGAGATGAGTCCCGTGGGTGAGACAAAGGGAGCCCCTCCCCGACTCCCCCTGCCCCAGTGGCACAGGGGCCTCCCAGGGACCCAATCCCATCAGCCCCCTGCAGGGCCACAGCAGGGGCTCTGGCAGCACTCACATCGCCCACTTTGATCCGGCTGTGCTCCTCCAGCAGCCGCCCTTTGATCTGCGGCCACAGCGACTGAGGCACGTAGAGGCGTGAGCAGGCGGAACACTTCTGGCCCCCGTACTCAAAGGCCGAGCGCAGGGTCCCGCTCACCACACTGTCCACATCAGCCGAGCGGTGCACAAAGTGGAAGTTCTTTCCACCACATTCTACAGGGACAGGTGTGGGGGTGTGAACCTTCCCAGCTGGCCAGGCGCCCAGAGCACAGCCAATACCTGTCCACTGGGTGTGAGCAACACCAGGGCTGAACAGCACTGGTCAACAGCCCAGTGGCCAATCTCCCACCCCACAGGCAGGGCCAGTAAGGCCTGGGGAAGGGTGTAGGGCACCAGTGGTCCTCAGGTCCAACCCTATCACACAGATGAGAAAACATACTGCCTAACATTAAGGCAGAGAAAGGATCAGAACCCGAGGCTCCCCAAAGCCAGTCCATTCTCAGAAGCGGACGCAGTTTTCTCTGAGGCTTGCCAGGACACCGGCCCATAGGGCTGGGGAGAGTCCACCACCTTAATTGCCACTGGTGGGGGTAAATTATCCAGTTTCCCCTTCAGGCAGGTCACTTCACCCTCCCAGCTGGGGTTTCTTTGCTTGTGGGAAACACCAGCTCACGGCAGCCTGCCTGCCAGGCTCCAGAAAAGAACTTTGCACTTTGCCTGACTGAGCCCCACAAAGACCTCCCATTATTATTCCCAAGTTAAAAACAAGAAAACTGAGGCACAGAGACATGAAGTCACATGCTCCAGGTTGGACAGTGGAGACCAATGGCTGCTCTCCCTTGGGGGTGGGGGTGGGGAAGTGGGAAGGAGACTCAGAGCAGAGTCCCCCACAATGCTCTGTGCACAGCTCTGCTGAGGGGCTCCCATCTAACTCATAGACATCGGACTGGGGTGCAGGAGTCACTTGAAGTTGAAGAAGCTACAGCTGACCCTCCCTGTCTCCCCTGATACTGCCCCTCAAAACTCTCATCGGTCAGAAATGGGGTCCAGGTCCCCCCAGGAACTCTACTCTGCCCTACAGGCAAAAACAAAGAGCCACCAGCCCCAGCTCTGCTGTTAACGTGCTGCGTGGCCCTGGTGTTCTTTCTCTTCCCGAGGTCTTAGCTCTTTCCCAAAGTGTATTCCATAAGACACTTGATCCACCGAGCCACTGTAAAAATAGGGTTCTGTGGCCAGTGAGTTTGGGAAACACTGCACGGTGACCTTGAAGATGTGCAGTGTGTTAATAGAGTGTTAAAGGCTCTGACAAGTCCTGCAGGAGAGGACTCCGGTTTGCCTTAACACGCGTAGCGCATACTAAATTTCCTTAACCATGAAACTGTTTCTTTGTGGGAAAATTTGAATATGCCAATAAAATCTGGCCTGCCAACCTCTCAGCCCCAGCTCCTACCGGCCATCTTCCTTCCTACTCACTGACCTGGCTTCACTTCTTCAAACACAAGTTCATTCCCACCTCGTGGCTGGCCTCTGCATTACGCGCTCCTCTGCTTAGACCTGCACTGCCCGACCCAGCAGCCACCGGCCCCTACTAAAACTTAATTTAATTAAAATTAAAGAAAATGAAATATTCAGTTCCTTGGTCACATGGGCTACTTTGCAAGTCCACAGTGGCGTGTGGCTAGTGGCTGCTGTGCTGGACAGGGTGGGTATAGATGCTCCCAGCACTGTAGAAAGTTCTGGACAGTGCTGGCACCTGAGACAGTTTACCTACTTGACCTGTGACGGAGTCACCTCCACTTCCTCTTTTCATGACAGCGAGGGGAGGCATCCCTGGGGCCACAGGGGAGGAGAGATGGGGAGAGGGGCCTTACCTCCAGCCAGGCGTGGGAAGGTGCGGAACCGGTCCAGGTTCTGGGCCACCTGCTTCCACAGGTGTTTGAAGGTGCTAGAACCAGAGGACAAGGCAGCAATTAGAGAGCCGGGCTCAGGCACCCAGCAGGGTGAGGGTCCTGAGGGGTGAGAAGCAGGCCCTACCAGATGGAGAGGGCCAAAAAACCCACGGATAAGAACCAGGGTCAGCAGCCCAGCAGGAGATGGGAAGGGCCACAGTGGTGGGAGTGGGGAACCAAGTGGGTGGTGACAGCTGCATTCCAGACCTCCAGCAAAGACAGGCTAGGTGGTAAGACAGTGCAGAGAAGGTTCAGACTTTGCAGCCAGGAAAGGCTAGTTCCAGCCCTGACTCAGGCACTCAGGGCTGTGTGATCTTGGGCTCAATACTTAACCTCTCTGAGCTTCACATTCTGCACCTTGCCTTAACTGGAGAGAATAATCCCCACCTGGCAGGGCTGTAGGCAACTATATCAAATGGGAGTCAAGCACTTAAGACTGTGCGGAACACTTCAGTACCTCATGGGGACACACACTGCTGTGGTCTACAGGAGGTGGGGAGCACCCCCTAGCCCAGGGCCTCAGGCCCTCGCCCCAAGCTGCCACCCTGGAGGTCCCCTCCTCCTCCCCAGGCTCCAGTGTGACCAACACTCAGCACCACAAAACAATAAAAATGCTAATCACCCGGGAGCCAGCGACACAGTAGCTAATACTAATTTATGACTTTCCTACCTTTAAGCCCGCTGCTCATCAGAGCGTGGCAAATGGGGGCCAGGCCCGCTCCGCCCGCTAACAGGCAGGGACCCGTGAGGCCCGCAGCTGGCAGAGCAGGCCTGTTGGAAAACAGCCCTCCTCAGCAATTCAAAAGCTGCCATTGCCACCCGGCAAACCTTGGTGAGGAAGAATGCGGCAGAGCCTGAGGCCTGGCAGAGGGGGTAAAAAGCCATCACCAGTGGTCCAGGGGACCCATGGAAGTACCCCGAGCTGCAGGCCCAGACACCTGGCTGCCTCTCCACCCAGATGACTCTCAGGCATCTCAGAATCTAAGTGACCAACACATGATTCATCTGCCCCAAGCCCACTTGTCCCCCTGGGTGCCCACCTTGGTGATCTCCTCCCCTTCCACTTGAAGCCAGGATGTGCCCAGTGACTCTCAACCCCCTGGATAAGTGACAGCAGCTGTGCCCCCCTGTCACCTACTTGCTGGAACCTGCCCACTTCTCCACAGCTCACTCTCCCCCCATTGTCTGTCCCTCCCTAGAGGGGGAGAGCTCCCAGCCAGCCTCCTACTTCAGGCCATAGAGCTGTCACCTAGGATAGAGGATGCACACACAGGGGTCTGGAGGGCCACCCAGCCACCTCCAGCCAGTGGCACCACAGGAACTACAGGCTAGGGGTAGGGGTGGGGCCAGAGTATCCAGTCCGGGTGACCAAGGGAAGCCAGCATTTGGATTTTTGTATGGAATTGTCCCAATCATACAAGGTTGGGCCATCACTATGAGGAGTCACAGAAAACAGCAACCTGCTAGGCTCAACTGGAGGGCCATCACTGGCGATCTCTGCCTGGAACCAAACTCTGATTCAGCTACTCTCCCTGCTTGAAACCTTCCATGGCTCCTGTCACCTTCAGGATAAAAGTCCACATACCTCTGCAGATTTACACAGACTTCACAGAAGACACTGGGATCTCACAGTTCCTGCCCTGGGACTTGGAGAGCCACGACCTCGTCTCCACTGCTCACTCACCACTGAGCCTCACATGAGCACGGAGCCAGGCCAGCAGCAAGTGGGTCAGTGGTCCAGATCAGGCAGCTGCTGCCTTCCCTACCTCATCTTGAACCACACTCCCCCTTACCTTCTTGCCCTATGGCCCCCAAACTTCACATTCCAGCCACACGGGACCCCACCAAGGCCTAGCACACATGTGATTTTGCCTCAAGGCCTTTGCATGTGCTGCTCAGTCTCCTAAACACCCTTCACCTGCCCCCTCTGCTTTGCCTGGCCAACTCCTGCTTAGATGCCACCTCCTCCAAGAAGGCCTTCTGATTCCCCCTCCAATTCCTTCCCAGTAGCAGAGGTGGCACTAAAATCAGTGTGCCCGGCATCTGTAGGCTACTCTTCCAGCCTGCAAAGCTCTTTGCTGTTTATTAACCATTTACTCTTTTATTTTTTAATATTTTTTTTTTGCAGTTTTTGGCCAGGGCTGGGTTTGAACCCACCACCTTCAGCATATGGGGCTGGTGCCCTACTCCTTTGAGCCACAGGTGCCACCCCTTGTTAACCATTCAATCCTCGAAATTACTCTGTAAGGCAGGGAGCTTCACTCCTGTACAGGCAGAGATGGAGGCTCAGAGAGGTGAAGTGGCGACCACACAGTGAGTAAGTGGGTACAGTGTGGGACCCCTGGGCTTGCAGCCCCGACCTGGGAACTTTCCCAGCCACCCCACCCTCGCCTGCCCTCAGGGACCTACGGCACGCTGCCTGTGAAGTTGATGCCACAGAGGTGCTCTGAGCTTGTGATGGTATCCCCAAATGCGGGCCCGTCAGCTGGCACAAACTGGATGATGTTGGGGGGCAGGCCGGCCTCCCGGAGGATGCGGTAGACAGCATAGCTGGCCAGCATGGCGGTGTCACTGGGCTTCCACAGGACCACGTTGCCCTGCCCAAGAGGTGTGACAGTGACTCATGAGACCAGGGCCAGCAGAACCCAACCCTCAACCCACCCCACTCCCAGCAGGGTCATCCCTCACTTTGAAGCAGCAGACCCCTGTGCCAACCAGGATGTCCCCTACCCAATGCCACTCCTCCAAACCTCTGGCACCATGTCCTAAAAGCATGTGCCAGCGAGGCCACAGCACAGCTCCATCTGGCCCACGCTCTAACTAAGCCTCCCTTTCCCCAGAAGCCTGCACCAACCTGTCCTGCCACAGCCCTGAGCAGGTCTGTTCTGTGTTTTGGAGTCACTAGGTCCTCACTGGGCACGGCCCGACAGGTACATACAGGCCCTCTCTGCACATGTCCTGGGTCCCAGCAC